TGTGTATATATATATATATATGTACCTGAAACTTTTTTTTTTTTGTACCTGAAACTTTTATCAGTATAATCACACTTGTAATCCTAGTCCTGGGAAGGCAGAGGCAGTAGGATCCACTCCAAATGCAATAGCAGGTTGATCTGTATAGCAAGTTCCTAGTCAGCCAGGGTTACATACCAGAGACAAAGTTGTCTCTGAAAGAAAAAAAAGGAAGGAAAAAATATTCTTTTTTCTTTCTTTTTCTTCTTCTTCTCTCTCTCTCTCATTTTGATTTTTCAAGACATGGTTTCTCTGCGTAGCTTTGGCTGTCCTGGAACTCGCTCTGTAGACCAGGTTGGCCTCGAACTCATAGAGAGATCTGCCTGTCTCTGCCTCTTGAATGCCGGGATTGAAGGTACATACTACTATACCTGGCAAGAAATATTCTTAAATTGGGCATGATGGTGCATGCCTGGAGTTGAAAGCCACCCTAGACTACATGAGACCCTGTCTAAAAAAAGAAGGAAAAGAAAAACACCAGTATATTCCTGCTTACTTTTTTTTATTTTTTTAAATATTTATTTATTTATTCATTTATTTATTATGTATACAATATTCTGTCTATGTGTATGCCTGAAGGCCAGAAGAGGGCACCAGACTTCATTACAGATGGTTGTGAGCCACCATGTGGTTGCTGGGTTGAACTCAGGACCTTTGGAAGAGCAGGCAATGCTCTTAACCTCTGAGCCATCTCTCCAGCCCTCCTGCTTACTTTTAAAGATTTATTATTTTAATTATGTATATGTTTATGCATCTGCATGTCGATGTGTACCTGAACGTGGGTGCCTGCAATGCCCAGAGGTCATTTTGAATCTCCTACAGACAAAAATGGAGTTACAGAGGGCTGAGAGCTGCCTGACATGGATGCTGGGAACCAGAGTTCGGCCCTCTGGAAGAGCAGCACATATTCTTAACCACTGAGCCCCTCTCCAGCTCCTATTCCTGCTTATTTCATTTTCTTGGGGGGGGGGGGGAACAACAGGGTTTCTCTCTGTAGTGCTGGCTGTCCCGGACCTCACTCTGTAGAGCAGACTGGCCTCGAACTCACAGAGATCCACTTGCCTCTGCCTCCCAAGTGCTGGGACCAAAGCACGCACCACCACCTCCTGCCTACTGTTTATTTTGTAAGTGGACTACATAGCTGATTTACTCGGGGCTAGTAAGATGGGTCAGAAGTAAAGTGATAGTCTTGCAAGAGAGACAATAAGCGTTCAATCCCTGTAACCTACGGTGGAAGGAGGGAACTGAGAGCTGTCCTCTGATAGCTACAGTGCCAGTGTGGTGCCCACAGTTGAAACTCACAAATACAGTAGCACACACACACACACACACACACACACACACACACACACACGGCTGGAGAGGTGGCTCGTCAGTTAAGAGCACTGTCTATTCTCTTACAGACCTGGGTCTCATTCCCAGCACCCACATAGTGATTCACAAATATCTCTAACTCCAGTTTCATGGAATCCAATGCCCTCTTTTGGTCTTCTAAGGCACCAGGCCCTATGTGCTACATATTCATAGGCACGGGCAAAACACCTATACACCTTAAAATTAAAAAAAAAAGAAGTTTATTTAAGCATTTCCTATCACTGAGCATTTCCTTTTCATATTTAGTCAACTCTGTACAGGACATGGTGGAGAATGTCTTTAATCCCAGCACTTGGGAGGCAGAGACTGGGGGAATCTCTGTGAGTTCAATCTCCGGGACAGCCAGGGCTACATAGAAGGAAGGGACTTGTCTCAAAAATCCCCAAAGCAAAAACTTTGCGATGCACATCTTTTTTTCCCCCTGAGAACCTTTGCATAACATTATTTAGTACAGGTTCCTAGAAGCGACAGTACTGGGTCAAAAAGGGTGCAGTATGTAAAGGTTCTCAGTGACTCAAGGATTACTGGGTCAAAGAGGATGGCTCATTCATAGCATTCCAAATAAAAACACTGCCAAACTGCTTTCCAGGAAAGTTTTCTAATTCATACCAGCTGTGTGGGAACTGCGTTCCTAATTCTCTGCTCCTACCCTTTGTGCTTGTGGCACCTATGTGGGGTTTCGTTAGCGGAGTTTTGCTACGTAATCCAGACTGGCTTGGAGCTTGCGCGCTAGTGCGTAGTCTTGCTGCCTTCGCCTTCCGTTGCCTGAATTTGTAAATATGCACCACTCAACTTCTTCGCACGCTTCATTCTACCGAGGATTGTTTTCTTTTAGAATCCGCCTCCGATATAATTTTCTGCCCCCACCTTGGTTTTTTCTTTTTCTTTCCTTTCTTTCTTTGTTTTGTTTTGTTGTTTACCTAAACTCATTAAACTGAGTCTGGCCTTGAATCCCTGATCTCCCTGTCTCCACCTGCTAAATGCTAGGATTACAGGTGTCAAACACCAACCATGGCTTTAACTGTGTTTTGGGGGAAAAAAATCCAGTTTGTAAGTCCATGTCTGCTGACCACTGACAGAGCCCCACAAGAGCACGCACACTACTTGGAAATTTTCCAATCTCCCTTAATTCTCAGGCGGAAGCGGAGATTTTTACAAATCACTATGGTGGAATATACCGCAAAGGCGTCGGCTTTCCCTGCGGGGAAGCAACGTCTCGCGGGATCTCGGTGGTCCTTGGGCCCTCGGACTGGACTACAAACCCCAACATGCAACGCGCTCCTAGGTCCGAGCCACCGAATGAAAGCGCAGAGCCCGTGTCACGTGTCCGTCTACGTCAAGCACCCGGTCGTCTCTCCCACGCCTTTTCTTCCGCTTGCACCTTGGTCGCCATTTTATGTTGAAGGTTGTAGAACCTCCAAATCTCATCGACTCTATGGTGGAGCATTTCGGAGTTCGACCAATCCTAACACCGACCTCGGAAAAAGAACCCGCCTTTATCCGCAAGGAGGCGGGAATCGCCACGAAGCTCCTGTGGAGAGAGAGGATGAAGCTGAAAATGACCAATAAGAAAGAAGGAGTTGATGACATCAACCAATTGGAACGCGGGAAGATAACGGCCAATGGGAGTGGAGGGACCCCGGGACACGTGGGTGGGGGAGCCGAGCGCTGAGACCAAGGGCTAAAGCTGGGAGGTGAGTCAGTCACCTTGAGCACCTTGGGCCGAGCAGGGGCTGCAGGGGAGTGGGAGTGCAGGTGACTTGGGGCCGGGAGCCAGGGCTCCGGAAAGCCAGGACTGGGCCACGTGGAGCAGCATTCTTCTCCAGGGACGGGGAAAGACTGCGGGAGTTTTTAAGCTTTACCAATTAATGTTAATTACCAACGGTAATGAGCGATAAACGGCCGCTGGGGAGAGTAGGGGACAGCTATGTAACATGGGCAGGATCCTGCACGACGTCTGCCAGTTTCTGCCTCCAGCCTTCCCGGGAGAATATTCCTTTTTCGCAACATTTCCCTCTTGGGACCTGAGCCGCCTCCTTTATTTCCGATCTCAGTTGCTGTTCTTCTGCAGACCCGCTCTGCAGAAAGTGTTTGACCCCGGAATCGGCGCTGTCCTTCTGACCTCTAATGCCCTCCCTAGCTGGGGCACAGGAAAAGAGGGGTCGGGGAAAGCCAGCTGTGGTGGATGGGGACGACTAAAGGTCGCTACTATAAGCAGACAACCAGGCTTTCATAGGAATTATGGTTTTTTTCCTTCTCTTCTTGCAGATTGAAAAATGCAGACCACCAAGGCACTGCTCGTTACTCCAGTTCTGGTAAGCTGTGGCTCCGGGTTACCCTATAGTGTCGTGTGTGGAATGGCAGCGAGCTTGTGTAATGAATGGAGAAAGAGGAGCTGGCGCCCATGATGGTGATGGCTCTTTGGGGAGGCCATAAGATTTGGTGCAGGTAACCTATCCTTATTCAGGCCTGTAAACCAAGCTTCGTGGCTCTCTGAGTGTCCTCAGAGAGACTGCAAATGACCTTTTATTGTAGCCCTGGTTTAGATATATAGCCAGACAACCGGAAAACAGTTTTTCTAAACCTTGCCTGCATGTTCAGTTCGTCTGGAAAGCTTAACACTCCCAGTGTCCAGACAGCACCTTAGACCAATTGCATCAGACTGTGAGAATAGAGGTGGAACTCCAAGCTTTTTTTTTTTTTTAGAACTCCCCAGGTGGTTCCAGTGTTCTGCCAAGTTTGACAGTCATTGCACTAAATGATGTGTCAATAAATCCATTTCACTGGGGTCTCTCCTAAGATGGCTATCCCCAGAGCCAAACCAGGCTTTCTGTCCCACTGCATGCAGGCCATGTTGCTGTGAGTGCGTTTTAGTAAATTTCTCCCTTTGGTGCCTTTTGTTATCTCGGTACGCTTCCTATAGCTGACTGGATGTTGGAGTCTTACTCTATTCTAGGAAGTTGATTAAAGCTGTGCCCTTGGAAATGAACTTTGGTACCTGGTTTGGTTTGGGCTTGGTTCTGAGGATTGAGCCCAGAGCCTTGTGAGTGCTCTCCAGCCTGGTACACGATGTCAAATGGTGCTGGTGCCACTGCTGGCTACTGTAAACTTTCAGGACACTCGTGTCTGCTGCAGACCTACTATAGAGAAATAAGAACAAGTTAATTGACCTTGAAATTCGATGAACTGGTTTTGACAGACTCTTATCATTATCAATTAGATTTGGTTTTGGTTTTTCTGGTTGGGTTTTTTTTTTAATGTATTTTGGGTTTTGGTGTTTGTTTTTGATTTGGATTTGCTCTGGCTTTCTGGTTTTACAGATCCGCTCCTGTACCAGGGGTCTAATCAGGCCTGTGTCTGCCTCCCTCTTGAGTAGACCAGAGGCCCCATCTAAACAGGTTAAACAGGTAAGGAAGTAAGGCTCCTCAGGCTCTCCCTAGGCAAGACTGAATGGCTGTTAGGAGAACTGGAGAATCTATGATGCTCTTGTAATTCCAAGACTCAAATAACAGTCATAGATGTGACTTGCCTTGCCTGAAAATAGGGCTGACATTCACCCTGCAAGCAGGGTATTCTGCCCTTGTCAGGCTCTCACAGCTGTTTCTTAGCTTGGGTGGGTGGGGTGAGAGTGGAGCCAGCCCCCTGCCAGGCGCCTCACTGCCCCCTTGCTCCCTTCCTTCCTGCTTTCCTCTCTTCTAGCCGTCCTGCAGCAGCTCCCCTCTCCAGGTGGCCAGACGGGAATTCCAGACCAGTGTTGTTTCCCGGGACATTGACACAGCTGCCAAGTTTATTGGTGCTGGGGCTGCCACAGTTGGTGTGGCTGGATCCGGGGCTGGCATTGGAACAGTGTTTGGTAGCTTGATTATTGGCTATGCCAGGTAAGTTTGGGGCTGCCCATAGTATTTTTCAGTCTAAGTTCCACCCGGTTAGGGCAGAAACATAGCAGGAAGGGGGCCTTTGTGTTGATGTTATTTACCTCCTATTTCTCCAGTGGCCTAAGTCAGAATTGAAGTATGTATCCCACCTGCCACGTGTGAACTTGCCAAATTGTTAGTCTCCTTTCCTATCCGTGTAGGCGAGGCCCTTTTGGAAGAGTAGCATCTTCCCCCTCCCCTCCCCTGGACCCTCACCCTTTCGTGTCCCTGGCAGGAACCCGTCTCTCAAGCAACAGCTCTTCTCCTATGCCATTCTGGGCTTTGCCCTGTCTGAGGCCATGGGGCTCTTCTGTTTGATGGTCGCCTTCCTCATCCTCTTCGCCATGTGAGGCTCCATGGGGTCACCCAGCTGTCCCTGCTGCTTCGACTCCATGCCGGTCCTGGTGCTGGAGTGTGCTGAGCTTTACCATTAAACAACAACGTTTCTCTAACCATATGCCTGTGCCTGTCTTTCTACTCTGGGGGGCTGGAGGAGCCTTTGGTGGAATGAGAAGTCACACTTGGGTCAGCCTTGGTGATAAGGAAGTGGGCAGAGTGTGGAAGGGTCCCAGTGTTTCTCAGATCAGCTATGAAATAGCCTGGGTAGTCATGGTTGGTACTTTATCCTTAAGTCCCATGTTACTGGCTTTTGCTTTGTTTTAGTTTTGTTTTGGCGGGGAGGGAGTCTTGTTTTTTTTTGTCAAGTTCTTAGGACCTTACTGTGTGGCTCTGGCTGGCCTGGAACTGGAACTTGCTGTGTAGACCATGCTAGCTTTGAAATTATGAGATCCACCTGTTTCTACCTTTCCAGTGCTGAGATTAAAGGCAATTGCCACCACCTCCCAGCAACATGTAACATTTTTGAGGAGCTTAATTTGCAGCAAACTCTACTAAATGTTCAACAGCAATCCTATGAATTGTAAGCATAGCCATTAAACTTGTTTGGTACATGAGGGACCTATGCTTTAGGGAAGCAAAATAATTTGTCCAAAACACTGAGCAGGTAAGTGGAATTAGCCTACACTTAAACGTGCTACTCATTCTGCCCCCTCCCCCCTAATCTTCATTTCCACACAATTTAAGGTAGCATAGGGGCTGGAGAGATGGCTCAGTGGTTTAGAGCACCTTCTGCTCTTCCAGAGGTCCTGAGTTCAATTCCCAGCAACCACATAGTGGCTCACAACCATCTGTAATGAGATCTGGCGCCCTCCTCTGGCATGTGGGCATACATGGAGGCAGAATGTTGTATACATAATAAATAAATAAGTCTTTAAAAAAAATTTTAAGGTAGCATATTAAAGTGTTGAGCTGGTGAGATGACTCTGGGGTAAAGGTTCTTTTTTTGAGGCAAGGTTTCTCTATGTAGCCCTGGCTGTCCTGGAACGCACTCTGAAGACCAGGCTGGCCTCCAACTCAGAGATGTGCCTGCCTTTCTCTGCCTTCCAAGTGCTGAAATTGAAAGGTGTACCATTACACCCACCTGAGTAAAGAAAGGTTCTTGCCACTTGCCTATTGACCTGAGTTTGATTCTGGGAATCCATAAAAGATCAAGGTTGGGGTCAGCCACTTTAATTGTATCTAATTCACGAGTTTCATTTTTAACATCAATAACTTTGAAATGTTCTTGAATAAACAGAAGACAAGTTTCTTCTTAGAGAATCTATAATCTTTGCATGAGACTGAGGGTGCTGTTGGAGGGTGTCAACTAATGAATTGCTTAGCTTCGTGTAGCATCTTCTGTGCCTGGGCCTTCCCTTACCCTCAGTTGGCTAAAATGGCACTGATGACCAGGTAAGATAGTGATTAAACTGCTGCCGCCCCTCCTGGGGTGTGGTGTGTAGAGACGCACTGGCATGAGAGTTTTTGTATGCATGCGGGCACTCAGGCCAGAAAAGGCTGTCAGATCCCTGGCAACAGGAGTTACAGGCAGATGTGGGTAGTGGTTCTGAACCCACATCTGCAAAAACAGTATGCACTCTTAACCATTAAACCAGCTCTCCCATAAGGAACAAGTTATTTTTATAAGTAAAGAAACCAGCCACGCCTTTAATCCCAGCACTCGGGAGGTAGGCGGATCTCTGTGAGTTCGAGGCCAGCCTGGCCTACGAGAGCTAGTTCCAGGACAGTAACCAAAAAGCTACGGAGAAACCCTGTCTCGAAAATCAAAAAAAAAAAAAAAAAAAAGGAAAAGGCACAGAGGTGGGGAATCCTGTCTTAAGGGTGCATAGCTGGTTAATAAAACTGTAGAACCCGTTATCACTGTGCTGAATTCCGTAACTCGCCCAAGGTTATGCAGCAAGCCAACATTTCCAACCCAAGTCCATTTGACATTTTCTCCTGTATTTCTTGGCTTTGTTGTGTAGGGACCAGGTAGTTCAATGGTTGGCTTAGGGTGTTTCTGTTCAGTGGGGCAGTAGGAACGTAGCTAACAGCCACTAGATATCAGAAGCAACAGGTTCTCAAGCTGACTACCATTGACAATGTCCTCTTGCTTGGTTTTCCTAAAGAAATTCCCCCAGGGTTACCAACCAGACTGGCAGTCAGTCTGAAGCCAAAGACAAGGAACAGGACTGAGGTTGGCCTGGCAAAGTGTCACCAGGGAGCAGTAGATGAGCTGGCAGTGCTGTTAGAGAACACCATAACTCTCGGGACACGATGCTGGCACCCTTGCCCGGTCACTTGCTTTAGAGGTAATCAAAGAACACTCCCCAGGGAAAGTAGTTGCTTTTTCCTTCCTGTGAAATACAGGGAACCTATT